TACTGCTTTGCTGCGGCAATCAGCTATAGTCACATGATCCACATTTTCAATGTTCCCTGGCAACTTCCCACAAGTTTGGAAACCCGTAAGGAACTGATATGACTGCCAACACTCATTGCCACCTTCCCGCTAGCAAAGCCCTTGCTTATGGGAAGCTTGCAAAGAGAAAGTCAATGAAGAAATTGGACATCTTCCACCTGTTCTCTGCATCCCATTGACCTCTAGCCCATTCCTTTGTTTCCTCCCCAACCTAGCAGCAGCCACTGCCTATTGGAAAGGGCAGGGAAGGAGAGGGAGGGAAGAGAGGAAGGAAGCAAGGCAGACAAGGATGCCTGACAAAAGAGGGAGGGAGGGAGGAAAGAAGGAAGGAACAAGAAAGAAGGAAGGTAGATTTATAAGGTCACTGCCAGCTTCCCCTAAGGGAAATCAGTAGGATAAATGACAGAAAATCAGTAGTCACTCCCACTGGGGTTTTTTTTTTTTTGCCCCACCCATAATCATTCTATGTCTCTGTTCAAGTGAGAAGATATCTCTGAAACAATGGTCCAATGGGTCAGTGCTTGTCTACTGAAAACTATAGTTGATCTTTTCTGGGCTTTGAGGGAAGCCAGAACAGGGGTTGTCTTCAGGAGGAGACTAAAATGTCTTGTCAATTTGCCTGTAAACTGCTCTGCAGATTATTGAGATCCAGTGTATTTGAAACACAGGATTTGGGAACAATTGTTCACTTGAAGCACATATCACATCAAGTTGCCCTCTAGTTATATATTTTAACTAGGTTTTAGGATAATCTAGTGATGAACAGCAGAAGTTTATTCATTATTAAGAAACAAGTTGTTCATTATTATCTATCTATCAATAAGTAACTGAAACTCCAATCTGTAGATATTAAGATGAAGATTAGATAGATTAAGCACAGACCAGGCTTTTCTGACCTTATTCCATCCAAAAATGATAGCTCTGAATTGCTATTTTCATTGAACATCTAGAAGGAAGAAGATGCTTCTTGTCTGCTCTATTATAGTTTGCATTAGTTTTATTCTTGTGTCTGCAATTTTCAATAGAATTATATTTTCAAAAATAGAAGAAAGAAAATAAGTGGGCAAAAGTCTGTTTTACAAAAACACTTTCCTCCAAAAAATCAACTTGAACTAGAAGTTCTATTTTCCAATCTGAATGAGCTTAGTACAATTATATGAAATGACATTTTTTATTGTAAAGAATTAAATAGGCACTAGTATGTTAGCATTATATTGTATTATATAATACATTATATAACTTTTTATCAAAAGCACTCTCTCTAACCCCTATTCAAGATATTGAAAGTCCAGTGTAGAAAATTTATCTACATAATACATTATTTCTCTTTGGCTATCCAATATTATACAGGCGTGAGTTAAGATAATTTAAATGAATTAATCATGAGATATAAGAAAAAGTGCAATTAAATTTCTTTACACCGATATTATTCACTATACACTGTCTATCTTCACCCCCATCCTTATTTCCACCACATCAGAGACTGAATTATATACTGCCTTTTGTTCTTTAAACGTACTTCCTTCCCTATTTTTGTTTTGTTTTGTTTGTTTTTTGGTCTTTCTCTTCTTCATCCATACATTCTTCCCTTATATTGCATTTGCATTTTAATTCTGATTCATTTGTTATCTATGACCAAAACACCAATGTGCTTTTATACTTTCCATTTATTTTTGCATTTTATTCATATTCATTCAATATTCATTCATTCTCAACCCTATCTCTACATTTTATTATAAACATTAAATATTTCTATTCCCACTACATTATACCAGTGCTTATATTCATCTCCTGAAAGGCCCAATCGCTTTTTCTCTACTCTCCTGTCTCATTCCCACCCATTCATTCAAGTAATCTAACATCTAATTTTTCACTAAGTTTTGCTAGATTGCCTCCATACAGAATGTTGCACATTTTCTCCAAACTCATCACTTTTTCTTCCATTTACTGGAAGGTAACATGTATCAGTTTGTTGATTCCCACTTTCACACATACCTATAACTTGTATTGCCAGTCATGTGACATATAATTTAGCCCTTTTACTCACAATTACAGTTTTACTTCCCTGCATGGATTCATCAGCTCCATTTACAAAGTCAGACCACCTTAATTCAAATTGTATCTTTCATATGCCATAGTTATTACCATGGCTTTAGTTATTTTGTACAGCACGAGGCGTTCTATATAATGCTATATATGCTCTTCTATAAAAGATTACAAAAGATTAGAATATTTTTTCCCAGCTACCCTATGGGATAGATTGGGTTTAAAGCCACCCAGTCAGCTTCTGTGCTGAGGGAGGACTGGAACCCTAGTTTCCTGGTTTCTAGTGCAGCACATTAAACTACTACACAAGACAGATTACAGAACAGAGGATCTCCCTTCATTTTATCCCCATATTCCTATGAGATGATCTGAGTTTAGAGAGACTGTCATAAAGTCATCCCATGTCCTTCCATGGCTGAGAGTGGATGAACCTCTACAATCCTAGCACAACAGCTTTATCACTACACCACACTGACTCTTTTGAAGTTGAATTTCTGGTTGTTGCTTTTTGAGTTAGCAAGCCTCCTCTGAGGCAACCATTGAAAATTCTCACTTTCAAAATTAACTTACTAAAACTTTAACTGGCCCAACCAATCTTGCCAATCTTGACTTGGCCTCTACAGAGTCAAATTAAAAAATATATCAGCTACCCTTAGTCTGAATTTGTGCCTGGTTCCAGTGCCTACTCTTCTGTAAGTTGTTGCACTATTTTTTCCCAACATTGAGATCTCATGTCGTGTTCACACAATGTCTGAGAGATATCCATATCCCTGCCCTCAGCTCAGAATTATTCCCCTGGTGCCACAAAGTTGCTTCAAGGGGATCCAAGGAGATGCACCTAGAACCATTATTCCCAAATTTACTTCTTCTATCAACTAAGTCAGTGTAATCTTTTTTAAAAATGTGTCGTTGTGCATGAAGAAAAAATCTCTGTTATTGCCTGCACAGAACAAGAAAAACAAATGGAAAAAATATTAAAAGGCAAAGACATTGAGAAATCAAGAAACTCCCTTCCTGTGATCAGATGCAAACTTATATTGTTCAAACAATTCTAACAATTCAGCATCAAGTTTCCCCATCTCAAATTTCTGGGCTTCAGAAATCACCAAACAAGTTCTCTGAAGAAGTACAGGTAGTCCTTGACTTGCGACCATAACTGAGCTCAAAATTTCTGTTGCTAAGCAAAAGAGTTGTTAAGTGAGTTTTGCCCCATTTTATGACCTTTCTTGCCACAGTTGTTAAGTGAATCATTGCAGTTAAGTTAGTAGCACAGTTCTTAAGTGAATCTTGCTTCCACATTGGCTTTGCTTGTCAGAAGGTCACAAAAGGGGATCACATGCCCCAGAACATTGCAACTGCCATAAATATGAGTCAGTTGCCAAGCGTCCAAATTTTAATCACATGGCCATAGGAATGCCGTAAAGGTCGTTAGTGTGAAAAACAGTCATAAGTCACTTTTTTCAGTGTCATAATTTTGAACAGTCACCAAATGAATGGTTCTAAGTCGAGGACTACTGTAATGTCAGCAAGGTCAGATTACAGTTATCACATTTTCCAGGCATTAAAAGTATCAATTAAAATCTCAAGGTTTTCACTTTTTTTTTCAAGCATGAAAACACCCTAAACTGAGGAGTCCGATCTCCTGCTCTCTATCTTTGTTTTTCTCAGTGTTCATTGTCAGCAGAAATACAACAATAGAGATGGCCCAGTGGATTCCTTTTCCTCGCTCTATCTTATCCAAGATGATGTGAAGGAGTGGGTGGGGGGAAGGGGGAAGCTAAGAAAAACTGAATACAATAGAGTAAAAAGATATGGAGGAAGAAGTGTAATACAAAGCAAGAGAGAGACAAAAAAGAACTATATGAGTACTAAAATATGTATAGTTGCAGTTACATCTATAAGCTTCCAGTTCTATCGTGCTACATGGGGGATGCACAAATGTAAATTTCGCTTCTCACATAACATACAGCCAGAAAACTAGAAATTTTGAAACTGAGCAACCAAAAATATTTTCCTAATATAAAGTAGAAATGAAAAAGATACAATAGAACCAAGGAGTTGTTTCAGAAATGTAAATTCATTAATTTCAATCAGTTTCAGAAAAACTGTATAAGTTCTAAGGATGTAAGAAAAGTTATTTTAAAATGAAATGTGAATTAACATTTTAAGTAATAAACATGAACTTGTATCTTGATTTTAAGTTTTATCATCCTATAAGGTTTCTTTGCCTTACTAAATTTCGTCCCAGATGTAGAAGAACAAATCCATTCTTACTCTCCACATGCCAGAGTTGATCTTAAGATTTTTTAAATTTATCATTTGTTATATAATATCCTAATTCTATCCTAGACAAGATGAACTGCACATAAATCTAATAAATAAATAAATTCACATGACTGTATCTCAACTAAACAGACCAAGATGTTTTGCCCCAACAAACAGTTCCTTTGCTCTTCTTTTTATAGCACACAAACATAATGGATTTATTAATTAAGTTTTTATTTACTCAAAAAATAAACATGAGCTGTAGCATAAATCAGGATCTTAAACAGACTTCAAACTATGAAACATAACAGATAAAAAAAGAAATTATGGCTGATTGAAAATTTCCTGGTTTAACAGTAATCCCCAAAGATGGGTTTTGAGCCAGCAACTGTTTTATTCATATCTGAGTTTTTGTCTTAGGTCTTAAACCAAGATTATGCTCTGCAAATAATTGTCTGAAGACCCCCTACCCCAGTTTAATATAGCTTTTTACACAAATTAAATAAAGTGAAGGAAATGAAGAGATCTTAACTGGTCTTTTGTTAAAAATAACATTTTTTTAAAAAAGTTAAGTATTATAACATAAAGTTTATTATATTCATTTATGTAAGCAATAAAATATAAAAACAGAAAGAAGTATGAATACTTACTAGATGAACATAAGGTATGAAATATCCAAATAAAGCAGCTGGAATCCCCAGAGCCCAGATTCTATAACTCAGAATTTTGAAAATGTAAAAATTGCACATTTCTTTCGCTGGAGGTAATTTGAACTTCTTCCCTTTTTCACTTTGTTTGGTATTAGGCATGACAGGTTTGTAAGTAAAGCCAGCCAGGAAGAGAATAAATAAAAAAATGCATAGGATTCGAAAAGTCCAATAGAGGCCAACAGAACTGACCAGTTCATCTAAAAGAAAAGGCAGTGTTATAGTAAACAAACTACTCCCGGCAGTAACAATGCCATTCACTAGTCCCAGGCGCTTCTTGAAATAATGTCCCAAAATGACCAGGGATGGCTGATAGCTAAATGAGCAGCCACAGCCAAGCAAGATTCCGTAAGTGAAATACAGAGGTCCAAGTGAGCTACAACAAATAGAAAACAGTGTTAATTGTGGTCTTTGGCATATTTTCCTTTTTTAATTTTTCAATTTTGTTTTATATTGACATTTGGATATTGTTAGAAAATCAAAGATAATTTAGTACTTAACGCTGGCTCTACTCTAAAATATTGTTTATGTCATATCTAAAAGGCTATCTTTCTATAATGTTTACAGGAGCCAATGTTTATCCCCAAAATGTAATTTTGCATAGTTCAAACCAACATTAATTATACATTAAATATGTTTTCTGACACTGTTTCTCACATGGTTTGCATAATGAAGAAAAATATTTCTTGGGATATGGAAATTATAATTCTGTTATAGCCTAAAATTACATTTGACATTTTCTGCAGTTTTATCACACTGTTGATTCATATTCAGATTATATTCCCATCATATACTTGATCATTTGGCTGCTATTTCCTAAAAGAACAGTAACAAGATGTATGCTACATTTTATTTTGTTATTTTCATCCAATTCTTCTAATTTATGAAGATTAAATCAAACTGAATTTTATTTTTGTCTTTCAAGTTCGCAGTCTCCAAATTTTTTACTGCATTTTGATTTTTTGTAAAAAAAAAAAAAGAGCATCCTCAATTATTTATAAATTACATCCACATAGTACTATTGTAATATATTATACACATTATAAAATATACACCCAAAATATATATATTTTAAAAGGATGAGATAAATATAGACATTTTATTTTTTCCTACACCCATTTTTGAGACCAGTATTCTAGCTGTGCCACTAAATCCATATCATTTGTAAATTTGATAAATGTACTGTTTATCTCTTCTGTGGGCATATAAAAAAGCATCTTCTGAAACTTTCATTAGCTTACTGGAAGTGTCAAGGGAAGCTTCACAGCATGATTGAAATGCATGAATAGAAACCATTTCCAGCTACTGGAACTGGTAAATGAGGCTGAAAGCAAAACCACACACCCACTGTACTTCCAGAAGTGATTAACTAAATAAAGAGAAAATATGTCTACTAAACATTCAAATGGGATATAAAGTGCTACTATAAGCATCCTTAATGATGCAGGGATGTATAATATAATTTTTCCCAATACTGTACAGCATTTTACAACCCTATGCAATTTTACAAACTACTTTGAACAATCTTTTCAAATTTGAAAAGGAAGATCTGAATGGTTTTGTCTTAAACGAATGGTGTAGAGACCTATGGCGTTAACCTTGAAGAAGGAAGGCAAGTGCAGTTACATAAGCATTAACTTAGTCCTAAAAGAGAGGAAAGTGTGACAAAGAAACTCAAGATTGTCTGGCTTTGATTTGCTTAAGTATAAGGTTCAGAGGAGAAAGAGAGAAACTGTTGTGCTTTCAAGATTCTGTTCCTATACACTACAACCATAAAGCAGAGTTCCTGTGATCTGTGTAGAATCTGTTTACCTCAAAGCATTGATAAATAGGCAGCAACGAGTTCATAGCTCAAGAGCAGTCCATGCAAAATCTCACTATTTTCTTGAAAATACTGTACAATAATCCCTGGGGTAAGATGTTGTCTCACTTTTAATACAAAAATAACATAGAGCAATGTGAGGAAAAGTTCATTTACCCACTTTACCCCAGAATTGGCTGCTTAAATCATGCTTGATGACAGAACAGATCATGACTGGATTCTGAAGTGCTAGGATAATACTTTAAATATGACATAATTTTAGTGTTTTGACTAAAATTATGTCATATTGAAAGTATTATCCTAGGACTTTAGAACCCAAGAGCACCCTTAAGATCATGATCTGTTCTGTCATCAAGCATGATTTAAGACCAAGATCATGATCTAATGATAGAAAGTTGGGAGGTTGGGCAGAAGAAATATTACAGTTGTCAAGGGAGTGCCCCAAATATACTGCTAGAGGGCAACTGCATTTTGAAAAGTCAGTAAAAATTAGTATTCTTACCGTACAAAGGAGCTTGAAAGGAGCCCAACGAAAGCCACAGCTGCTCCTACTACAGCTACTTTTCGACAACCAAATATGTTGGTAAATACACTGACAATGGGAGAACAGAAGAAAATCATCCCCATCGATAAAGAATTCACCAATGCTACAGAAAAGATTAAAAATTAGAATTGATTTAGCATGGCAGGTTTGATAATATGCAGTGTAATATTTATTCCAGTTTTCAGGTAGCATGAAACAAAATCTAGCAAGCGAATAATAATTTGTATTTTGAAATACCTCACGTGGACTTGAAGTTTAACATTTTAAGAGGTAGGAACTGGTATAGACATGTTTTATATACATTTGCAAATACTTATAAAGCTATATTATAAAAATATATTGAAAACCACCCTGAGGTTGGAAGTGTGAGATATATAGATTATTGTATGTGCATAAATAAATATACAGATAAACTATTATTTGAAAGACTGTTTTCCATCTTTTTTTTAAAATGAGATTTTGACATGACAGAAATAATTTCTTGAGAATAGAAATGGATATTATATTATTTTCTACTTGCACAAAGACTGATACTGCAGAGTTTGGAAAGATCCTTTATCAATTACAACAATCTGAATATCTTTTTTGTCCATATGTCAATAAGCATTGTACTTCTCAGCAGTGGTGGAATTCAATTTTTTTACTACCGGTTCTGTGGGCGTGGCAGAGAAAGGATACTGCAAAATCTCCATCCCACCCCACTCTGGGGCCAGCCAGATGTGGTATTTGCTGGTTCTCCGAACTACTCAAAATTTCCGCTACTGGTTCTCCAAAACCTGTCAGAACCTGCTGAATAGCACCCCTGATTCCCAGACTCTCTTCTGGAGGATCATTTAGAAACTGTGACTGCAGAGTATATCAGAACTATCTATAGAAGTTTTTATTGCTGATTTAATTGCTTTTGTAAATAATTATAATTTGATATTAAAATATCTCTTAACAAGATGCTTCTTGTTTAATTAATATGTAAGAGATGAATGCTTTTCATATTTTCCCTTTTCATGTTTCATACACAAAACACACACACACAAAAAACTGACATATAAAATGTATTTCCTTATTGTGCAAATCAAATAACCATAGAAAACGTAACTTACATGAAAAAGAGGTTTAATGTGATTTTACTGGAATTTGATTAGAAATCATGTAGTCTTGCATTTTATAGATTAGAACTTCAGTAATCCTCATTTACTGATTGCAGTTGGGACCAGTAATTGTCAGGTGCAAGTAATCAGGAATAGGAGTTGAGTTCAAAGCACTAAAAGTCTATCACATGCTACTGATACACAAGAATTCTACTAATTGTCAAACCAAATTGGCATTAGATAAGGGTCAATTGAGTGAGAACATAATGACTTCAAACTGATGACACATTTGACCCCACTATCAGGCTTAGTCTGCTCATCTACACTAATTCTGTCACTAAGCAATGCAGTCATAATGTAAAATATCACGTGACTATACCCAGTTTATGATGTTAGTTCCAGCTGCTGCCATTAAGCAAATCACCTCAGTCAATAAGAACGAAGTATTGTGACCACAGCTTGAGACTACCTGTTGGCTTTCCCATTGACTTTGCTTGTTGGAAGCAAAATGTGAGTCACAAATGGTGATCCTTGACCACGGGTACACTGAGACAGCCATAAATTCAAGGACTAGTCATAAATCTCCTTTTCAGTGCAAATGTACCTTTGAATGGTTGCTTTTTCGAAAGAGAAAATACTTAGTAAATACTTAGTAAAACTTTAGATTATAACCTTTACCAACTGTTGATTATAGTTACTAAATTAACTATAATTCAAGGGCATGGTAATGAAAAGAACCTTTTATGGCTTTGAACATGCATATCTGCAAGATTGCCTGCTCCAAATGGAATCTGCCCATCAGATCATCTTCTGGAACAGCTGGTCCATCATCCATATCAATGTTCTGCAGCGGTATTAATATTCAGATGTTTTATAGAGTAAAGATGGGCAGGTTTTTTTTGACGCCAGGGCTAAATAACTCATTGCAAATAGTTTCAGTTCTAAGGGGTTATACAATGAAGTCACTGTGGGTAGAGCCAAACACTTTTAATCTTTTTTTAAAAGGTTTTGTGGGGACAGTGGATATTAAATGCAAAATTACTATGCTTTGGGAACTTAAAAAGGGTTAACCAAAAAAAACAGTCTACACCACCCATCCAAAGTCAAAAGTTTTGCTGCTACATTTTGGGAGGCAGCAAAATGTATCAGATGCCTCTGCCTCCCAACTGCTTTCTCCCAGATTATTATTCTCCTACAGCTATCAATAGAAGGGAAGCAGGGCTCTGTCCCTCATATCCAGCTGTATGTTAATGAGCTGAAACTCTGGAATGATACTGTTTATAAATTTTAACAATCAATCAATCCTCATGAGCTGCAAAAAATTCAGCTACAGACTGCATGCTAAGGGTACGCTTTTAAACCTTTAAGATTCTAAACTTCATTAGACTCGTGTTCCTTTAAAAAATAATTTAGAGAAAATGAATGGTGTAAAAGAGGAAAACACTTGGAGCATACAAATCTTATTTACTGGTGGTCTTCAGTTAGCAACCACTTATTCAATGGCAATTCAAATTTATGACGGCATTGAACAAATAGTACTTACAAATGAAAAAAGGTGAAAAAAGTAAGGTTTTACATTTAGGCAAAAAAAAAAATGCACAGGTACAATATATGCGGTACCTTGCTCAATAGTAGTAACTGTGAGAGGGATCTTGGAGTCCTAATGGACAACCATTTAAATATGAGCCAGCAGTGTGGTGCAGCTGCCAAAAAAGCCAACACAGTTCTAGGCTTCATAAACAGAGGGATAGAATCAAGATCACGTGAAGTGTTAATACGACTTTATAATGCCTTGGTAAGGCCACACTTGGAATACTGCATCCAGTTTTGGTCGCCACGATGTAAAAAAGATGTTGAGACTCTAGAAAGAGCAACAAAGATGATTAGGGGACTGGAAGCTAAAACATATAAAGAACAGTTGCAGGAACTGGGTATGTCTAGTTTAATGAAAAGAAGGACTAGGGGAGATGTGATAACAGTGTTCCAGTATCTCAGGGGCTGCCACAAAGAAGAGGGAGTCAAGGTATTCTCCAAAGCATCTGAGGTCAGGACAAGAAGCAATGGGTGGAAACTAATCAAGGAGAGAAACAATTTAGAACTAAGGAGAAATTTCCTGACAGTTAGAACAATTAATCAGTGGAACAACTTGCCTCCAGAACTCCAACACTGGAAGTTTTTAAGAAGATGTTGGATAACCATTTGTCTGAAGTGTTGTAGGGTTTCCTGCCTAAGCAGGGGGTTGGACTAAAAGACGTCCAAGGTCCCTTCCAACTCTGTTATTCTCACCAGGCTCAAGGTTGACTCAGCCTTCCATCCTTCCGAGGTAGGTAAAATGAGGACCCAGTTTGTGGGGGCAATAAGCTGACTTTGTATAAAATAGAACACCGCTTAGGGGGCCCCAAAAAGCCCTACTAAGCAGGTATATACAAAAGTATGAAGGCTATTGCTTAAAAGCATTGTAAGCCACCCTGAGTCTCTGGAGAAGGCAGCATATAAATCAAACTAATAAATAAATAAATAATAAATATTGGGGAAATGAACATCCCCAGAAATGTCAGTCTTCTGATAAATACTTTGTTTGGCATTTTAAAGGCTTTTTGCCCTTACGATATTTTTTAATTTGATGTAGAAAGTCTGTAATAATTTAAAGTTTTGGACCTGGACTCAAAAGGCCCTCACAAAACCAGTGAGTAATTTTGAGTCGACCATTCTTTTTCAGTCTAATTTACCTATACTAGTCATACATCCTTTATTATAAAGTACAGTGTATTATTTCAACAGTTTTTTAGATTTATTTAATTTTTTATTTTTCTTGGTTTTGTTCTTGAATTTTGCAAAGCAGTTATAAACAAAAATAATTTTTATCCTTATGAACCTCTTTCATATTTGCCCCCTTTTCAATTGTTTTTTTTTCCCAAGAAAATATGTTCACTGCTTTTATTTTTTCCAAGAAAATATGGTCATTGTAAATTTATCTCACAGGCCTGTTTTGGATCTAAAGTAAGGGAAACCGCTTACACCCTATTCCCTTAAAAAGCTTTGAGTTCTCAAGAGAAAAAAATAGACTATAATTCAATCAGTCAGTCAATTAATCGACTACTGGTTTTTAACCCCAGCCTTTAACATAATCTTTATTTCAAAGAATTCCTTTGGAATCCAAATTAATCTCATAAAGTCTCCTACAGAGCTAGATCCCATCTCTACATTTGCGGGGGGGGGGGGGAAGGCGGATCTCAACATTTTGGGGAGGGGGGTATGCTGGAAAAAGGAAAAAATAAACAGAGATAACAAAGAGGAATGGCAGAAGAGAAGGCAGTCAAGGGAGTTAAGATGTTAAAGTACAAACTCTTCTCTTCCTTAAAATGTTAAGCAGTTACATCAAGTAGCCGTTCTGTAAATGTACGTGTCCAAATTGAGGCAGATCTGTTCAACTACATTCTTGAAGAATGAACCAAATGTTCAGAGCAAGCATTCTGCTTATATTATACAAGTTTACCAAGTTCTTTCCTTTTCTAAAAGATCTTGTTTCTTGCTGCAGGCAAGGAATATATCATACACTTGGATTCCATTTTAATCACGCTGTGCAATTTCTCCTTTTGAGGGAGAAAAAAATTATCTGTCAATTTTACCTATGTCATACATGGTGTTTTAGACACCAATCAAGTAGAAAAAAATATAATAATCAAGAACAATTGAGGAAGAAACCACACCCTATCAACCTGGAAGGGCAAACCACCATATATAAGCAAACAGCAAACCTCATACTCAACCATGATAATGAATGAAATGTCACTAAGCAAGCAGGCTCATAGACAAACAAGCTCACAAGATCTTCACATGATTTTATATATTTTGACTTGGCCCTCCCCCTGTTATCTTCTCCAATGTCATTTTTTGTATGGAAGCCATTCTAGTGTCCTTTTCATTTTGGTTGTCCTTTTTTGTACTTGTTCAAGCTCTAAATTAACCTTCTTATATTGCCAGCAGTTTGACAGTTCGAGTCTCACCGGCTCAAGGT